TTGAGGATAAGGATGAGGATGAGGATAAGGATGAGGTTGAGGATAAGGATGAGGATAAGGATGAGGATAAGGATGAGGTTGAGGATAAGGATGAGGATGAGGTTGAGGATAAGGATGAGGATGACATTGAGGATATACAATGTAGATTAGGATTAGGATTAGGGTTGATGAACATTATAATATAAGCTTGATCACTTCCCTCCCTAGTTTTTGCATGTACCTCCAATCCCTTGCATGCATGCATGCATACACGAGGGTCATTCACTTCAATGCTTGCAGACTGGTACACGCTGTACCACAAAGGAGAAGTATAAACTGCCGCATGTTTATGTTTGTGGTACAAATTCATGGTCCCAAACAAATTATAGTGGGCTGACAATTCCAGTGGAATTTCAAGGAAACTCCCTTCACTTGAGAATGTCCCAAGTGCCTGTGGCATTTGTGTTTGACTCTGTCTGTGGCGACTACTCTACTGAAGGCTGGGCACTGGTAAGAGTGTGTGTGTGTGTGTGTCAAGTTAAGGCCAAGTAGAAGAAAATAAGAGTTTCTCGTCCGGGTTTTTTTTTTTTTTTTTTTTTTTGCAAGATGGCGGATTTTCCAACATGGCAGATTTCCCAAGATGGATTCTTCCATATATCCTGAACTCTTTTCCCGATACTTTTGTGTCCAAATGTGACATAACACTTTCTAACAGACTACATGTACACACAATGTAGCTACAATTACGCTGGAAGAACATAAAAACCGAAATATTGTAAAGGTTTGATTTTCAACAACAACAAAGTTTTAAAAAGGAGGCAGCCGTGAAAAAAGACAGCAGGCGGGGACAAGAAACTGATCATTTTTTTTACTGGCTTAAGCGCTAGCTACAGGCTGACTTTTGCAGACATACCTGCCATGTTTTTGTACATGTTTCAAAATCTTATGACGGCAGATGGGACATTCTGCTGTCTGATTTTAATAGGCGATGTTTATTTTCAAGACCTACCGGTACATGTTTAAATTGTGTGCACATGTGTAAAAATTAATGTATTCACATAGTTCGTGTAGACAGCCAACTGCCAACAGATACATGACACATTATACATCATGTACCAGTAACATGGCCCACAACAGCAACGGAATGTTTTAATGGTCTGGCAAACAGAATACGTGTGAAACAGTATCATGACGGCAACGTATACAGGGGCACTTGATGGTCGGGCAAGTGCTGTTTCAATGTAAATATAGCATTTGAAGTCTTTGGGAAAACGGTCTCAAATTTTAGCTTGAAGCACCAAGATGTAAGTCCATCCTTGCTGCACAGTGACTTCTTGGTTGTTCAATAACTCTATCACTTATATCTATAGGGCAGGCCAAGGCCTATAACTGGTTACCAGTATTATCACCAGATAGGATAACACTATCCTGCTGGCAGCAGGGTACCGGCTAGAAACCTCGCCCGGTATCCATGCGCCGAGGTTTGCCAATCCAAAATGGTGTACACTTTCACATTTTGCCCACGGCGGTTGTTGAGAGTCCTTATTTTTTTGGTTTCATATGATGTCGAGATCTGGAGATCAGTATCTCTGGGAATGCTTGCTGATAAAAATGTCACGCGCGGTCAACAGCTTTTTATTTCGAAGAATTTCTGCTGTTGCCCATTAATTTCAACTAAACATTCCTCCACGGTTTGTACATGTACTGTGCATGTGAAAACTACATGTACATGTATAAACTGTGTAGCTTACAATGTACTTGTATGTGTACAAATATAATGTACTCTGTACTGTTGTTGGTTTACATTTTCCGGAAAAGTTCAAAGTTGAAATAAAGGCCATTATTAGCAACAGCATCCACCACAGCTATAGATACTAAATCTGATTTGCCGTATCCTGTTATTGTCCGGACAGGGGCTGGGATAAAAATCACATGGCACTGGATGACAAAACAATTCTGGACTTTGAAATTAATGCTTCGATCGACTTGACTGCCAAATTCTTTACAGAATACCATGACCCTTGTCATCTGGACTTTAAAAGATAAATTTTTTTTCTGTAGACTGCAAATTCAGCCCGGTCAAACTCTTGGGCTGGTTTATCAATTAAGCCATCATTATGAAAGGCCTGCCTGAAGCTGAGTGAGTGAGAACCATGTTGGCAACTTCCAATTTGTTTTTGTGGTTTGGGTCACAAAAGGTGTACATGCATAAAAAAAATGTAATTTGCGGTTAAAAGTGCAATAGCCAGAGTTGCTTAGTCCAAATTCCACTGCTAAATCACTGCCAAACCGTAAGTAAGAATACTGGATTGTAACAATATCAGGTTGTTACGCAGCGACTTAAAACCTTCCGTGCAATTGTGCCGGGCAGCTGACCGGAAAATGGGAACACAATGGAAGCAACTCAACAACAATCCGGTACACCTACGGAAAACATTCCTTTTAACAATCACGGACCTGGGTACAATGACTGGCTACCCGTGAGATCAGATCCCATATTGTCAAGTGCACAAATAGTCAGTGCATGTTTTGAGAGTGTGTGAAAATGACACCAATCCAGACAAATCTGAAACAAGGAAGCGAGAGATTTGAGAAATCACACGTAGTTGATGTCAAGCACTTTGTTAGTACTCACAAGGGTTACATGTACACGTTCATGTAATTTATTGTTCCATTAACAATGCCTGAACACAATGCCAGCCCACATGTACAATGTACATGTGCAGGCACTTCCTGCAGTGAGAGCAGATTGTTTACCAACCTTCCCCAGACAGAATGTTTACAAGTTTTTGGACCAATTTCAACTTGCCTAGGGAAACAATGCATGGGCCAACTGCCAACTGGGTTAAGGTGCCCATCCTTTGCCATACCAGCCCTCAAGAAGTTGCTGTTAACACCAAAAATGTGGATTATTTTCTCTGGCCTTGTCTTCAATTTTTTGAATATTGCGTTGATTTTATAATTATGTTTGTTTCTTTTTACATTCTAATCCATTTTATGAGGTTTTAGTACATTTTTATTTATCAGATAAAGACGTTTTTCACACGCAATTCAGCTTTTCAGCTGCGAGATTTAAATCTGGGAAAAACAATTCATAGTAACAACAAATACTGATAATTCTAATTTGCAATGTGTCTTTATTTCCCATTTCATACTATTAGGATGCAATTTTGATTTACATTTGTACACATACTACATGTTTATTCAACTGACAGTATGAATTTCAGGCTTGACCACTACAATACCAACACAACCAACTAATGAAAACTGATCATAAATGTATTAATACAATTTGCCTCATCAAATCAGTCACCACAAGATCCGTCTCGGCAGGCTTACGCGCAAGGCCACTTTTTTTCCATTTCTAGGCCAGATTAAACTGAACAACTATGTCATATTAACACAATTTTTTCCCCCAACAAACAGTCACCACAAGATTGGTCTCAATAGGCTTGCCCACAAGGCCAATTTTTGTCTCACTTCTGGGCCAGATTTTCAGCGACGGTCCCATCTCTTTAAATCCAAACATGATACTGTCGACATCTGGAGTTATGGACGGAGCTCTTGTGATATAATGGGCTATTGGAGACAGCCAAGGCCAGAGTAGATGAGATGAGAGGAACGGAGGCCGTCTGATTAGACACCGGCTGGGACCAGGAATTGAGTGTTCCAATAAGGGAAACCTCTGGCTGGCTGGAAACCATTTTGACTTGTTTATGTAGGCCTACTATTTCAGCCCTTACAGACAGACCTTGAAGGGATGAGGAAAAAGGAGATTCTCCCTCTCGAGGAAATGAAAGAATTCCCCCCCCACCTCTGGTAAATGATACCACCCACTCTTCTGTGATGACAAGACCAGGCCATTTTTTTATTATATTTATCAGTTCGTTAAAATTCTTAATTTACTTTAATAATTAAATGTTTTAATTCTTTTTTGGAATACGTTTCTGAAAAACTGTTGAAAAAGCACTGCATAGTTCCTTTTTTTAGCTGTACGGTTATACATACATGTACATGTTGTACTGTTAAAACCAGAACATTTAGGCCCTAATGCAAGCTTGACAGAGACCTGTCAATTCTGGCGACTGCTGTTGTGGCAGTTCTTTTATGTGGTCAATTTACAAGTTTTATGGTTCACTAATTATGAATTGTTTTGCTGCTGTGAGGGTAGGGCTGTGCAAAATGTACCAAACCGTTAATGTCAGAAACCAGCTCTAGATTATGGGATCGGGTACCCGTAACCAACTTTACAAATTACTAAGTTACTTTTCAGACAATAAAAAAGAAGTCATTTGTGGGGAATTTTCAAAATAAAAACCAGGCCACATGGGAAAACAAAACATATTTTATATTTATGAGGCTCGCGAAAGCTGCAGTTTACATCTTAAAGCTATCAAACTCACTGTACACACTTGTATCTTGATGCGGTAGTAATCGTGCAGACCTTTGTTTGGCATGTTTGGCATTGGGTTTCTTTAACGGGTACCAAGGTATCCGTGGTTTTTTTTTAATCGGGTACCCGGTTCCTGTACTATCTGTAAATGCACACCACTATGTGACGGTAACAAATCCAAAGCCCCAAAGCACTGTTACATGTACATGTACCAGTACTTCCTGTAAACTTGTACGGGAGTGATATTTTAAAAAGGGAAACTGTTAAGAGAACAAAAATCTCCACCCTTAGGAACCTAAAACCAAAAATACAACATTTATAACAATATCAGATTTTGCGTGGGGTAATGAAGGGCATTGGGAGGACCACACTGTCCTAAGATCAGGGATCCTCCTGATCTTAAGACACTGTCGCTCCTACCTGTGGCAATCATGGAATTTGTCATGCAAACAATGTCAAGTCTTTGGAATAATCAGGTTTGGCACAACGCTGGCAATGCAATTCTGAAACCGGTGATAGAATCTGACTTCTAAGATGTGATGTAAATTATTATTGGTGACATGTTAGGGGGGGGGGGGAGGGAAACCTGTTGTTGGTTTCAATTTCAAGCCCCACTTCAATATCCTACCTGGGTGGAGTCCGTGCTAATACCAGAGGTTGTTGATGGGGTCACAGTTGACGTTGGGTTGGATAAGCCGCAGCTGCCAAACTGGTCCACGGTAATCTCAGCCAGCAAACCTACCGCTCCGGACATGGTTCAAACTCAGGGCAGTCTAAATCATCCACTGTTGGGTAGCTCCCTGCGACGTTAATTGATTCATCACCTGGTGGGAAACAAACAGGAGGCAATTTTTTAAAAGTAAATCTATCTTTAGAATGGCTTTCAAGGTTTTTGCATTGTGTCTTGAGAAAGGCATTTGACTGTTTTTCGCCACGAAAGAATTTGTCCCAACTATAGGCGCCGTGTACAAGTACTCCTTCATCTTCAACGGCCAGAAAAGGAGAGTTGGGGGAGGCCTAGACTGGTTCCCGGTTCATCCACTACGTATTTCAAATGATCCAAAGCTATTGGGGGCAGGGACTAGTCTGGGAGAACATCACCAGTTAAATTCAAACGTATTTGCGCCCAGACGCCTGACGCTCACGCTGGCACATTCAGGAAGTCGTGCGTACTTCGTGCGCGAACCAGTGGAGTACAGTATGCACAGTAATGCACACGCTGTGTGTCCCATCCATGGGCTCTCAAAAGTGGTAAACACGCGCCCTCTTTTGTTGATGCACAGTGCCAACAGTTGTGATAATCGAAACTATAGTTGTGACGGTCCTAGCTATAGTTGTGATGGTCCAAACAATACTTGTGACGGTCCCAAATATAGTTGTGACAGTCCCAACTATAGTTGTGATGGCCCCTCTTTGTGGCGGTCCCAATATAGTTGTCTGGACTGATGCTATAGTCGGGATGTAAGTGTAACAACTCCCAACAAAATATGAACGTGCTCTGAAGACTCACACCACAATTTCAATAGGGATTTTCTGTGGCAACATTAATTTTGCTGTGAATAACATGCACATTATTTAATTGAGACTTGAAATTTCTGTGCAAGATTTCCAAATTCCAAATGAGTCACTGTAGCAAACTGTTGTCAGCACATGGGGGGGGGATCATTTTCAGTGCAACAAATTTGTTTACATCATGTTCATCTGGCAATTGCTTATTTCAAATCAAACAAAATGAGATGTGTGGCCTAACATTTTCATCTAGTCTGATCGTCGCTGTTAAAGTAGCGGAATATTGTCAATAACATAGGCCTACTGTTGCTAAATCACAAGAAGTCTTTCAAAACAATCCAAAATAAGAAATGGCAACCATTTAAAATTTGTCTGAATAAAATTGTTGTTAAAACGTGACACACAATTAGAAAATGAAATGACATCATCAGAGAATGACAGTACAATGACTAATGTTACTGTGATGCTGTGATGATGCCAATGCATTACTGTTTACGTTTTCAAGCATGATGTAGTCAGGCCTATTGATCACAATACAACAAGAAATGTGTCACAAACACATGAAACATAAATTATTTTGATCTCAAATACCGGTACTTGTCCACTTACTTCAACTTTCAAGGAAAGTGCCACAAACATAAATTGAACAATTATTTGACAATTAAAAACGATGTCACAGCTGGCGAATCCATAGTTTGGACTCGGTCTCGACAGGGTCTCGATCGTGCAAAAACGTTGACATGGTTGAGACGTAATCATGCCAATGCAACTAGAAAATTATGTACACAGAAAATGTTGTAGGGCCTATTGTTGTCCGCACTTACTTTTTCCCGGGAAAATTCAGCAGCGGAGTTGCTTCAAACTGCTAACTTCCAGTCCAGTCCGCCAGTCACCGAGAGACACGATGTCCCGAGTAAAACCTTGAGGGAGCTGTCATTTTACACACATGGCAGAACACAATGATGAGTCACTAGCAAAGAGTTTCGTGGGCTGAAAATTCGTAATAAACACTCCCGACGACGCCGATGATGAACGTGTTTATGTTGTTCTTGAACAAGTCCCAAAACTTTACGTACACGGACGTTGACTGATACCAGCGACTAATGCCGCGTAATATTAATGACCGAGTTGCTCCGTTTCGGACACGCATTTCAATGTGCCAGGGCAGGGAACCAATGAAAAGTTCACGGCCGCTCTGCCGGTGCGAAAGTTTATTGAGGGCGCTATTCAAGCTCACCGTTAAACTTTTGCGTATGGCCGGGGTGCAGGCCGCGTAATTTTTTTTTTTCCTAGCAGGGTTAGGGGCAATGTCATGAATAATTCAGTTTTTCCTTTGAATCATTGCAAGACTTAGGTTCTCGTTCTATTTTCCCCTTAATTTAAAATTTTCTCAGTGATAAATTTGGAGAAGAAAATTAGCTAATGAAAATGAGCAGCGACGACGTGGATTCGAACCAGGGATCTTTGTATCCATAGCTCAACTCGCTATCCACTAGGCTACTGTGTGGTAGCTCGACGACAACCGTTCTTTAAAATGCTTTAATGTATTGTAACTAGTTGAGTAACTAACAACAATGCTGTTGATGTCATTGTCCGTTCTCATGGATAAACATGAATTATTCATGACATTGCCCCTAACCCTCCTAGGAATAAAAAATACGCGTGCAGGCCACCATAAACCTTACAATTAGTGAATAGTGCGCACGAGCTCATGAATATTTTTGTGACCCCACAGTTACTTTTGAATAAGAGGACCTTGCAGCTTATAGTTGGGATGGATTGTAGAAATATTTATTTCAATCAAGTATTTGTGACTTGTGGCTTCCAACTCGGGCGATTTTATTCGAACCCCCCCCCCCCGGACTTGTGGGTCTATTTCGCATAGAGACATTTAGACATTTAGACATTTAGACCTGGGCCCAGGGCCAGGGATTAACAACCTTTTTAGGGGTGGTTTTGGGGGAGGGGAATATAAAAAAAGATTGACCCGGTTACCACTAATAAAATCGAAAAGAAAAATGTTCAGGGGATCACAATCTTTAATTTCCAGCGAAAAAAACCTCGCCACCTTGCTCCTGAGCGTCACCAGGTGGCGCTGTCTCTGTCCGATTTTGTGTTGTTTTCTATGAGCGCGTATTTGGTGCAATGGAACCATACTGTATGCACAGTGCAAATGGCGAAAAATTAACGGTGAGCTTGAATAGCGCCTGTTTATCGAGGGCGCTATTCAAGTTCACCGTTAAACTTTTGCGTATTTACTGTCTGCACAGTACGGACGTACATAATGTACGTCTGCACTTTGCGAAAGTTTAACGTTGAGCTTGAATAGCGCCCTCAATGAACTTTATGATTGCGAGCGTCCACCTCGTCTTGTTTATGAACCAGATTTGCATTTTATCCCACAAACTGTCGCGCGGGGACAGAGGGCTCTATCAACAAGATGAATTAATTCTAGTCTCGGGGGGCCGGGGACGTTGGCACTCAACCCAAGCAATTCCGATCTCATATCTCACCACGCGCAATAACCTTGAATGGTGCGTTCAGGCCCGTCGTCAAGGGGGGGGGGGGGAGGGCTGGTGAAGGGGCCCCCTTGGCGAGCAATTGGCCCCCCAACAGCAAAAGCCATACATGTGTAGTTTTGAATTGTTAAGGTAGTGGGCCCCTAGTTGGTACTTTGCCCCTCCCCCCCCCCCCTCCCCTTGACGCTCAGGGCTGGCGACGGGCCTGGGTGCGTTTCCTTCCCAAATCTTGTGAAATAAATCAGTGGTCTATCGCCCCCAGGACGCGTGGGAACATGCACAGATTTCCCCGCCCCTTCTCTTTGGTTGAAATACTTGAACCACTCACATACACAGCTAGTTGCGTGTGATTTGAAATAACTTATAAGTAGTAGTACGATTTCCTGTGAGTTTTTCCTCCCCCCCCCCCCTTGAAGCGGATTTTCTACTACGTTGAAATAAATTTAAATTTTCTTTTTCTGATTCATGGATCTGGAGGATATTTCTTTAAAGGAAAATTAAGATCGCATTCGCATTATGGTCATTGACTACAGCTGGTTGCAGAAAAAAAAGGAATTGCAGACGAGACACTTTTCCCATGCTCAGAAATTGTTACTTTTACTTCCACCTACATTTGGACCTTCTGCTTTGATGAGTTGGTGGACGCAGGGGAACATTTTCCGTTTGACATTCGTATCTGCCGCCCTCTATGGTCTGATCGGCAATCGCGGTATGACCACAATTTTTGGTTGAATTTAACAGAAATTCTATACAATTGGTTATAGAACAACCCCATTTTGGGTAGTTGCAGTTCTCACCCTTTCTTGGGTAAAATTAACCCAGGCAATTTTTCAGTGTAGGCGTGTATGTTCGGTTTTGTTTGTTGCTTTTTATATATTGTGTGTTTTATTTAATTTCAATTCTTTAGGCCTCTCATGTTTACTGCTTAAATGTATATTTTTTATGGATACTATATGTTACTTTTTACTGCACATAGGAGTTCATATCTCATGTAATTTTTGTACGTGACTAATGAAACGAAACTAGAATCTTGAATCTTGAGAGTACATCTGCGCGCCTGCCATCCTTTGTTGTAGTGTTGATTGCTGCATAACACACACCGGTTGCATGAACACACGGTGAACAAGAGACTGTACGATTGTCATACATTATTAATTATTACGTGGGGCTCATTCTTCCTGAAAACATAGTTTCCACTTCTTCCATTCAGCAAGCAGATGGAGCTCAAAATACTCCAGTGTCTCAACCTAACAGACACTTCGGTTTGAAAAAGAATTTAACGGGTAGCCAACGGCCGAATGGTTGGGTTCGTTGGCCACAGATACCGGGGTCTGGGTTCGAATCCCCTTAGGTAATGTTTGGTTTTCGACACACGCGCTCAGTCATTTGCTTAAAGATGTTAAATTCGAAGTCAAATACCAACAAAACTTAGTTCAGTCGCTTAGCTCAACAATTGGGATTGTCCGCGAAGTCCTTGGTGCAATCGACGTAAATGTACGGGGCTCTTTTGCTGTCTCGGCAGCAAGGCATAGGGTGCCGCCTCGTTTCCTCCCTTTTATGGTGCTTTGCCCTTTGGGTTACATGAATGGACAGGGAAGGAGGTGTGGTGGGCCTGGAACCGAGACCCAAGAGGGCTCATTGAGTTCGAGTTCCTAAGTCCGACCCCGGAATGCCTGCTTAACACCACATAACTTTTTGCTTCCTTAGAATACAGACGTGTTGTTCATCGTCCCCTTATGTATTTTTTGTATTAAACGCTTCATCAGAAACGAAAAGATTTTCTTCCAAAATTAATTTAAACTTTTAAATATGCAAGTAATATAACAGACTAAAGTCCACGTTTCTTATTGTAACTACAATAATCCATGACGTAATTTTAAAATCACGATTATGTCAATCAAACATATTTTTTTGGTGGGGGGGGGGGGGGAACGGACGAATGGCAAACGGAATTCGAAGGTTCAAGTATCAAAATAATTTTATTGCATTCATTCGCAAATCTGAATATACTTTCTTATTGTTTTTATTATTATACACTGCAATATAGATTTGGCATAATTTTGTACAATATTAACCATTTTTAAAGCTATTATACAATGCGTTTCATAAAAAAATAAACATCCAATAATTGTTCCTGCTAAATAGACCTGCATGGTCACAGAAGAAATGATTACAGTATCCAAGAAAAATCGAAGAATAAAATCAGATCAGGTTGATATTACTTACACGCCCTTCTGCTAATTAATTGATGAACGCGGACAGTGCATCTGTAATAAAAAAGTTACATCAAGTAAAAAAGTTTCTGTGATTTTCGTCTTTTTGCACTCAGCAGTTCAACGAATTCAGCCATTTATAGTAAAGCCCGCCGATTGTGGCTTAAATCGCCCATGCATTGTCATTTTTTTGAAATGCAATCCTTGAAAATGCACCTTTTGTGTCCCATTGAACCAAGTTATCGTTTTTCCATTTTCAAGGGTGTTTTGGTGTCTTTTTGGTTTTGATGCAAATGTGGATTTCCATTATATTCATGAGTAAATTAGTGTGATGTCATTTCAAGCAGAAAATCAACGTTACAGCTACTTGAACACCAAAAGTTGCCAGAATTTTGGAAACTTTGCTAATGTAGATTCTCTTTTCTTTGGTGATTCGTTGTTGTGTCAGCACATAGCAGTTAAAGCCAATGAGTGAACTCTCTCACAACTGTTTTAAAAAGAGCAAATGCTGGGGTTCGCAATTTGTACAGAAAACCCCTAAACTGAACAGTGTCTTCCTGAAATGACGTCACAGCAACAGCGCCCTCAGTTGTCTGGATAAGCACGGACAATGTTTAAACAAGTGCACTTTTCAAGGAAATTAAACTAAAAATGGATGTCAAATAGTTTAAGGGGTAGAAAGTCGCACACAACGTGTTCCTATGAAACAAAAATTATCTCGTGTGCCCTTTAAACCGCAACAAGATTTCGAGAAATCGCGGGTCTGTGACCTTGCATGCAAGGCTTCCGTTCATCGGTTCAAGAAATCCCACAAGATCGGCTGCCAAAAATCATGATCAAAATGTCATGAAATCCCGCTGGAATTGGCTTCACATCTGGTATGGATAAACGTGAACTGGGCTTGCATCCACACCAAAAAACATAATCTTGACTTACAGCAGGCGTAGCTATATAGACAATTATAATATAGACAAATATTATGATGTTCTTTATACAGGCTGTTCATGATTACCACGAATTATTGCGAAACAATTGACTCTTTTAAAGTCGACCTGGGAAAAACGTAAAGCTTATGGCAACCCCCTAATTCCTTCATGTTGACATAAATTGAGCGATCGTTTCTTCTGCATATCTTCTAGCATCACAACTGAATAGAAACAGTTCGCAACAACTTTTGTGCTCCCATCCCCTCACAAAGAACCCCACCCATTAAACATTATCCACGCCCTCCCCTTTCAAAACTCCGGGTTGCAGTACAACAAATCTCAGTCCTCTTCCAGACAAGAACAAAATAATCTAATGCATTATAGGTTCTTATTTATTTCATTTAATTAGCCCTTTTTCCTAGCCAAACGAGCTGAGAACCGTTTTATGGACGAAAATAGTGGGATTTCAGTAATGCAGAAATTTGGATGAAATTGGTCCCTCCAAGCGCTCTATTTTGAAATGGAGTTTAGGCATCGTTTTTCAAAATGGCCATGGGCTTCAGGACTTTTTTTAGGGGTGATCATCTTCGGATGGAAATTTCTCCAAAAAGTCATTGGATTACCCCCAAAAATTGAACAGAAAATTAAAGATGATGAAATAAGATTTAATTTGTCCTGAACACCTGAAGTGTCCTGAAGTGCGCGTAATTACCACTTAGGTCTATGGCATTGTATTTACTGGTCTGGACCCAGATGGCTTCAGAGATGTCATCTCGGCACCGCAAAAATCCACTATGTGATGTCAGTGTGTCATTACTACACGCAGATAGCTTCCGAGATATCAACTCGGCACCGCACCGATCCACCCATACGGCATATGACGGTCGTCTGTGTGTCGTCTGCTACCTCCAGTAGGTTACCAGTCTTGTCCTGCAAGGGGGACAAAAAAATGGACCAAGTCATCTTTGTACCTCAGAATATATACAAGGGATCGGGGAGAAGTACATGTACAAGTACATGTATATCTGCATAAGAGCCCTTACTTTAATAATACACTCATAAAAAAAAGTCAGAATACCAACGGGTTTCTCTGCACTGTAAACAAAAAAATGGCCAAATGTAATGGGCATTGCAGTGTTATTCTACCTGGAACTTCGGGAGAAATTAATTCAATTCAAATTCATGTTATCAACTTTGGGAATTCGGAAGAAAAGTGTAGGCTACTGATATTTTGACCATTAACTTTTGGGAAATACAGTGGAATTGCATGCAGTAATTATTCAAACATCTGCTGGTCGTTTCAACTGGCCGACTGCATCCCGATTCACCGTCAACGTTCAATCCTGGATTTTGTTTTCGTCTTGAAAAATAAAAGAGTATAGCATTCTCTAAATCCGATTATGTGCAAAAATTATTATGACTGCATATATAGCTAGCACAAACATAAAGCCGTTCCTAGGTCCCCCCCCCCACCCCAGGGTAAGAGCCTGACGACTTCTAGTCTCATTTCAAGGCTATACTCACAGAGATTAGAATACTGCTGTCGTATCCATCCGATGAGAGCTTGCACCACAACCGCAGCCCGCTGTCCAAACATCTCAAAAGATTGTAAGCTCTATCGTTATCAACTGCGGAAGAGGGAAATCAAGATACATGTTTTAGCACACAGCGGCTCGAGTATTTTTTTTCTGATAAGCAATGTGCTTTATGTAGTATTTTTATCTTAAAAGTTCCTTCAACTGCTGAGGATTAACCAACAGAGAGACATCCATGCTCTGAAAATTTCTAGCTAATCGCGTCAAGTTCCTTCTCCTTCTCGGTCAACGAGACAAACGTACATTTTACACGACCCTACATTTAAAGACTAAATGGCATTTCACGAGAACGGTAGGCCCGACTTCCTTATTTAATAAAAATGTCAACTTGGGCACAAGACATAATCAGCCGATAAAATTCATCAATTTAAGACGCGGTACGCCTGGGAAACGTACCCACACACATAGCTTGTAGATTCCGGCCGGCTCCCTTCGATTTAAGCTTTGCTCTTAAAGGGCTCATGCAATGTAATTTTTCTAATGCAATCCTTGAAACTGCACCTTTGTGACCCATTTAACCTTATTTTTAATTTTCCTTATGTCATTTTCAAAGGTATTTTGGTGCCTTTTGGATGTTATGCTAATGCAAATTTCCATATTCATGAGCAAAAGTGTGATGTCATTTCAGGCAGAAATGTTGCTGTCGTAAATTCTTTGGTGATTCGTTATTGTGTCAGTACATGGCAATATTAGCAAATTTTTCTCACAAATGTTTTCAATGAGCAGATTTGTGGGTTCACATTTGAACAGAAACCCCTACACTGAAATGACATCACAGCAACAGCGCCCTCATTATTGTCTGGAAAAGCATAGACATTTTTTAATGTTTCAAAAAGTGCACTTTTGAATAAAAAAAAATAACCAAGAAAGGGATGTCAAATGGTCTTCATACATATAACGAAATACTATAACGAAAGTATTTGCAAACAAAACCTGCCAGTCCCGCTGGTTTTTTTTTTTTTTCGAACAAAACATCTGGAGGTACGTCTTGAACAATTATTGGATTTTCTCCATCAAAAGCTGGTCGTGTCCTGTCTTACTATTGGTTTGGATTCAATGTCGACGGCCAGTGAGGTGATTAGAGGACCCTATATACTGAAACTTAGATAATCTTGTCAAGTGGACAAGATTGACAGGATGCCTAACCTGACAGGATTCAAGCTGTCACTTGAGAGTGAATTAACTTGACTGTCAGCGTAACGAGCCATCTTGTCAGGATTTCAGGATTGACAAATTCGATCCTGACACCCTGGCTGAGTGTTAGATGCACTGTGGGTGGAACCTCATCGTCATGACATGAAAAATTGGCATTTTAATTCTCGGCAGGAATAACTGGATATAGTGGGGAAAGGAGTTGAACAAGAGTAATCGAACATTCTGATGATCACAATTAGAATCCAATAGTAAGTTGGCAAGGCGCTTGTGTGCATGATGCACGCGTTCTCATATTCATGGTGCGTGTGAATTCTGATCAGTTGCACATTTTTACAACTATTGGTTCAAAGGAATACTAAGTGCACGTTAATAAGGCTTATGCTTGAGCGTCGTACCACCCCAGATATGTCTTGTAGGCCTAATTGTGGTGGCAAGAGTAGTCTGTAGTTACCCACCAATGCTATCCCTCATGGAGACGGCTCTGCGATGGCAGGCAGCAAGGCTCGTCTGTCGATCGACCATGTGGCTCGCTGCCACCGATTTGGTCCGGCGATGTCCCCAGATCGAAGCCTCTTCTGCTTGCTGCTGCTGCCGAGCATTCCTCTCGTTCTCCCGCTGCACGAAGTTCCTCCGCTGATGAGCAAGGTGTCCGGTCTTCAGCCACGACTTCTCGGCGGGCCTGGGCGGCCGGGAAGACGGTCGCTTGGGCACGGTAGGTGGGCTGGCAGCCGGGCTGACGGTAGTCATGCCGTCAGTGGCGAGTTTGTAAGACCGGCTCCTGCTGGTTAAGGTCCGCTTGCGACGCTTGCTGGAGCCGAAGATGGCATTGGCCGGGATTACTATGCCGTGCTCGTTGGGCTCCTCAGAACCAGGAACTGGGACAATACTGCTGGGGTCTTGCACGCTGGATACCTCCACCGATACACCGTCTTTCGGTGTAGCCTCCTCCGCCTCTCGACCCCTTTTCTCCCCTTCGTTCTCCCCAAGCTTCCACGAGATAGCACTCTCGTGAGTGTCCTCCGCCAGCACGGTCAGTCTGGCCACGTCACCGACCATCTCTGTCTCCGGCCCCACGTCAGACTCGGGCGAGTCCTTCACCTCAGCCACCCGTACTTCGGCGCTGTCCTCGGTAGGCAGCGGCCTGATGACGCTGCTCACTTCGTTCAGACTCTTGCTGGAGCGGAAGAGGATTTCGTTGGAGCGGTACTTGACTCGTTTCAATGTAGACGACTCATCGTCAGCAACGAGGGTCTCGGCGCTTGAGAAAGTCGTCTCGCTGAGTCGGGACGAGCGGGCCTCCGACACCGAGAGCGCCTCGCAGTTATCGCCAGACCCCAAGATGGGATTCGAACCGTAGTCAATTTTATCCGGGTAGGACTGGGAGAGTTTGTGCAGTTGTTTTAGCGCGACAGAGCCGTGTTCGCTGTCACAGACGCTACGCGGGCGAGACGAGCCGAAGACATCGTCCTCAGAGGAACCTGAAAGTAATCAAATAGAAAATTGTCAATCTTGTTGCATTTTTTCTGATACTAACCGGGCATAGGTAAACATTCCTCCATGCTTCAACCAAGCTGGCTACGGCCCTGCGCTCGCCTGTTTCATCTTAAGAATAGGGCAATGTAGTCTAATTAAAGTTTCCATTTTGAAAATTGCTTCAAGCCAGAAATTAAGAGTTAGGCTTTTGCCGAGCCAGACTGATCCCATGGAAGCATTCACCTACCATATTCTACAGGTGTCTCTTTAAGTAAAGTACCGTAATACATACATTCACAGAAAACACCTCAAGTGTTTTCGTTTAGTTTGTCACCATCAGAATAAATGAATTCACATCGAAGTATTAATGAACATCGATTGATTTATTTTGACCTGTTCGCTCTGTGACGAACACCTGACTCCCATCGCTCATTTTGATTGGTGGAATCTTCCCTACGAAGTAATCTTCACTTTCCGTTGCTCTAAATTTGTTTCAACTTTTCTACAAAATTTTGACTGAAAGCGAATAATAATGACATATCTCACTTCCCGCTGGGAGCGTTCCGGGCACGCCACCTAACGTTTAAAACGTGATTCATAGCTAGCAACATGAACTCTTCACCCAAAGTCTTAACCCTGAATGAGCGACCCCCTTTTCTGAGGGACTCTGCCGTGAGTATAGACTCCTGTCCGGTACCCCGTTCGTCCAAATCTCAGCTGTGCAATGCCATTGTTAGCATTAAATTATTTTAGAGACATCCTTTAACTCACAACATCCCAACGCAAGATTGTGACCAATTAGACAAAGCGTTCGAAACTCGTCATCATTATTTTGTTTGTGTCAAGAGGATTATCAGTCCAGTTCATTGTGCACATGAATGCACAGTCGGACCGAGGCTTTATGTTAGCCATGACAAGAATTCGTCTCAGCAAAGTTTGTATTAACGAGAGCTGACTGTATATATTTTAATTGAGTGGTTTCATTCATTATCCAGTGGTTTTTATCCTTGTAGCGTGACATGTGCTATTTTCAATCTTAATCCTGGAGTTCCCTTTTGTTTTGCCCTCTTTTTATACACATTTTAATTACTGTTTCATGTTTGTTGTTTCCTATTGTTTCCATCCTTATTACTTTAATTTTTTTGGCATTTTGTCTTATCTCATCCTGTTTTATCTTGTCTTGTCAAGTCATGTCTTGCCCTTGCATTGAATTGATTTGAATTGTTTGATGCTCACTCGTGCTTTTCATGGTGCGTGTATATTTTCTTACTTTGAGTTTTGTAAAGATCTTTATCTTAATAACCTCCAGGTATTGTTTAGTTTTGTAAATTTTCTGATTATTAATTGAAGCTTGTCTAGTCTTATCTAGTCTAGTCCTGTCCACGTCTTTTTTGGTTCTTGTCACGTCTTGTTCTGTCTTGTCCTTTAATTGTTTGATGCTATTTTATATAGTTTGGTTTAATTTTTCTTGTTTATTGCCAGTCTTTTTAATGTTTTATGCTTACGTTTATACGTTTATTTGAATATTTGTAAATTCTGATGCAATTCAGCCCTCGGGCTGCCATGTCATTTTTTTTTATCAATAAACCATTTATAATACGTATTGATTCACACTACAGTCTATAGTCACAAAATTATATTTATACAATCTCCAACGTCGTTTTGTTTACACTGTTTCCGATTTTTTACCCAAAATGTTCGACTTTAGTTTTACTTTTACAAGATGGTTGAAAAAAGTTCTGATGGTTCCATCGGATACAGGGAAGAAAACGAATGGTCCAAGACTTCGATAGGAAGTGATCAATCCTTTCCAGTTTGCTGTTTGGCAGCGATGTGATATACATGAGTGATCACCGTATCATTCATCAACTGCGATGAGATTCGTTCATTCAAACCATTTCTGTTCTAAATTCCATTTTCAATATATTGAAGCGGACTTTTTCAGGTTATCTTAGCGAAAATCACGCAGCTTGAATTTATTATGTGCATATGTCGCTTCATTGAAATGGGAAACTTTCTTGAACAGGAAAGATCGATTTTCACGGTTGAAATTTGAAAAAAAGACTGCCCCTGCAAACTTACGTAACAACCTAGTAGTTCTTACAGGTTTTACAGCCCCCCCCCCCACCCCCACCCTGCCAAAATGGGGAATGGGACTTTAATGCTACTCTTGGCCCATAATGCTTCTTTTGCAAATGGGGAAGTAAATTTAAAACAAAATCGTCAAACTGCTATCTCTCTGCGAGAAATATCCGTTTTGGAACAAACGACCTAGTAGTTATTTGTTCCAAAACGGATATTTCTCGCAGAGAGACAGCAGTTTGACGATTTTGTTTTAAATTTATTTTCCCATTTGCAAAAGAAGCATTATGGGCCAAGAGTAGCATTAAAGTCCCATTCCCCATTTTGGCAGGGGGGGGGGGGGCTGTAAGACCTCCCAACAAGAGGCCAACCGTAGTTCCTAGCATGTACATGTACACTGTGTATGATTATCACGTATGGTCTATAGCGGTAAAGCACAGGATTTACGATCGTGAGTTTCGGGTTCGAGCCCCGCCGTAGCCATGCGTGTTGTGCCCGGCCCTTGAGTAAGGATGAGCTTTACCTCAATTACTCCTCTCAACCCAGGTGTTAAATGGGTACCGGCATTATTCAGTGCTGGGAAGGTAAGAGGCTCGCTGTGGAGGAGGTGCGGCGATCCCTCCACAGTAGCATACACGGAGGAGTCTGGCCCATTCGCTTTGAAAAAGAGATGGGTACTCCGTTCCTGTGAACACAGTTCGTCCCCAGTTTCCTTTATCATGGATTCGACACTGAACACAACACGGCTAGAGCCTAGGGTGGCAGTGTGTACACTGAGCATGCGCGTTTGGATCCCTGGTAATCTCGGCACGAAGGTAGAGCGAGCTAATAATTAACGGGGATGCAGACACGAATGGTGATATACAGCCATCATATCCTCACAAATCTCGCGCGAGGCATTACACATCGATCGGATCGCATGCAGCTTTGAAAGGTTACGTGCCAAAAATGATATACATGCATGGCTTTTCCCTGGTTCTGAGATTTTGGCAAATCCGCTCTTATTTTAGAAAATTGGCCCTTAGGCAATAAAAGAAGGTGCAACGGTTGATATAGGAAACAATTGCAGGAATGTAGATAACTATGACATGCATCAGTTACTTGCACAGTGGAATGGCGCCCTTACTTCGCCCAATCTTCGTATGTTTCGACTCTAGTCGTCAATAACTTCTTAAACAGAGCCTTTTGTAAAATATCAAAGAAGAGATGGAGACACAGGTGTATCTGGAAGAGAAATTGAAAAGGAACTTTCGAGGGACGTTTAAATCCCAACTACAAATAAAAAGGGTAATTGTTGGTCAACTTCTGGCCTCACGTAAATCAAACTATCAACTTCGTAATTTTTGGAGGGAAGTTTCGTCCCAAATACTTGTACTGAGTTCTGCCGGAATCAAACAACTGACATCACTTTATACACAATTAAATGTTGGGGTGAATACCACTGACCAACTTTTTTTCATCAACTTAAATCCAAATGATCCAAGATAGAAAGGCCGTCCACCAAAACGATGCTTGACTGCATCTCACAGGACTGCAGATCAAGATGAATTCCAAGGCTAACAGTTGCAGCAAGGCTGGCAATGACACAACATCAACATGCAGAAGCCATCACGAGGTCTCCTACGTACCTGAGTGGATGGCAGTCTGGTGGATGGCATAAGTCAAAGTCAAGTAAGTCAAGATCCAAGAAATGTGTGCCAATAGATGTAAGGGCAATTGAAAAAAAGATGAAATTCATGCTAAACGGTATGATGTATAAGGGTACAACGTGAAACTAAACTGCGCAACTTAGCCTCGAATTGCAACATCACTGTTACTGTCCCAATTGGGAGCCAACACGTGCGATCCTTCGACCGTAACGCTACGACGTTAAAGTCACGTAATTGACGTCTACATAAACTCGCTTTCTTTCGATTCTTTGCGGTTTTCATTCGTCACTCTTACCGTTGGTAAGGAATCGAAATCGCGGGGGAACCGTTGCTTCCTCCGCGGTGATTCCGAGTGAATCACCGTGATTTCATAAATGATCGGTTGCTACGTCGACCGTGCTCCCGGCGCCCTCTCTCTCTCTCTCTCTTTGATAGCTGTCGAGCTCGATGATGTGAAATCCCGGCCTGTATATTGCAATCCATCAATGACGATTTGAGTTCTACTTCTTCTGAAGAGTAATCGTTTTCAACAGTCACCATCTTCCTGCGGTTCCTTGCACGCTGTTTATATTAAAGGGACATTACGGCCTTGAATGCGCCCCATTGGGCTACAATATACGTTTTAAATGAAATTATATTAAATAGAAAGAGCATTTAGAAGTAGAATATAAACATCCACACAACCATCCTTTAAAAACTGGTCACAATTCGGAGGTCACAATGAGTTTTGTCCCCAAAAAATAGAGCTGTTCGGTGCAAGTTGTGATCCACCGCACACTTGTTCGCACTCTGCAGATGTGTAAGAAACAACATGTGTGAGTTTGTCTTACAGTCACTATGTGGACATGTGAACAAGATGTCCACATAATGCAGGTTGTGTTGACGTTATGTGGACTAAGCCGTGTCCACATAACGTTTTGCCCCCTTTCAGGAAAACACGTTTGAGGCATTTTCGGGTTAGGGTATCTGTCGCAGCATGAAGAGAAGCATTCAAGCAAATAAAAAAAAACAAATTTGGGGTTGAAAGAGTTTTCACAGTTTAAGTAAAGTTATTTTTTGTACCGTGCTACACAAAAACAAAGGAATGTCCACATGGCGTATGTAAAACATACAGGGGTGTATTTGTGTGTGTATAAATTTATGTACACTGAAAAATTGCCCGGGTTAATTTTACCCAAGAAAGGGTGAAAACTGCAATTACCCAAAATTGGGTTGTTCCATAACCAATTGTTTGGGTTTGAGTTTTTGTTAAATTCAACTAAAAGTTGTAGCCA